TGCATATTGTAAAACAAATGCCAAGTGTGAAAGCCGGGTATATAGACCCTCAGCTATAGCACAAACAAATTTTAATTACCCTAAACAGTGAAAACTGGATGACAAAGAGCTAACTGTTGGAAAGACCCTTCGGAATAAAGAGCACATCCGTACGAAGAAACTAAGGGAAGAGTCCCTTAAGGTTTCGGCATACATTGCCCTGGCTTTTAAAATTCTCCAACAACATTCTACTATATGGCTACCATACAACTTCGAGTAAGTTCAACTCTATACTTAAAGCTTTGTTCGATATATTTTATTCGATGCAAAAGAGCTTATCTAGTTCTATGATTAAATCCATGCAGCAACCACTGGATTTGTATAGATGTCGATGTCGGGAGGAGCATGGCATGTGTCTTTGATTAAATAGATAGGGACCCGGTGACATACAAAGACTTCATATCGATTCTCAAGACGTATACATATCGACAATCCTCATTAGCTTATATGTTTGTATACATACTTGTAACGTTCACTTTTGGATACTAACAAGTTGTATTTGCTAAAATAATTCGAACAGGGCATTTATGTTCTATGTCACTAAACATCACGGAAGACATGATCCAGTAAGGAAGGAAAAGCTGGCTATAAAAACACTATGTGCGGTAAGTGTAACATACTTCTTCAGTACTCCATTACATGGCTGTCAAAAACATTACTTAACATCTTCATATGCAAAACACACAGTGCCACAAGCAGAAGTCTGGTAGTGTACATTGTGGATACTATGTATATTCTATGATGAGTAACACCGGTGCCTAGAGGAGACACCCCTTAAGGGTAAGTTTGAACCTCTTCACCCGTAGTATAAAAACTTCGTACATGGTATGAAACACTAAACTGAAACTTGTTCTCTTGTAGTGGAAAGAAGAGAAAGAAATGCAAAGAGACCCATACAAGGATGACCAACTCTTAGAGCTCGTCGGCGACCTTTGCAACTTCATATTGGACCAGATTGTACACGTCAAAGACACCTACCATGACTGAGAGTCTGACTTAGGTAGAAATCCTCAGTACCAATACCTTCGTGAGACTGAAAGGCTAGCTCTAAGACGTTGATAACAATGTGTATGGAATTTGACATTGGTTTTACCTTGTGAATTATGTCTATTTAATGATGGATTGTATATATTCTTGTGAATTAGACTTATAATTGTAATTTATATAATACTCTTGTGCTTGCAGTTTATATAATACTCTTGAGCGAACGCGGTTCGGAACGTTGGTCGCGGGGCGTTCTGCGAGATTATCTCGCTTTCCTCGCTCACGTTGGTCGCGGGGCGTTCGGTGGAACATTGGTCGCGGGGCGTTCGGCAACGCGAACGCTGGATGGAATACGCGGAAACAAACAGTGTTCTAGTCAAATTTGAATTGTAAATTTGAATTTTTTTACGAAAAAATATACTGTAGGGGCGGTTTTAGGCTGAACCGCCCCTACAAACAGGTATTATAGGGGCGGCTGGTATTACAGCCACCCCTACAAATCGATTTATAGGGACGGCCTAAGAACCACTCCTACAAATACATAATTTATAAAAACGATTTGATAGGAGCGGCTGGCCAAACCGTCCCTATTAATGATCTTAAACTGCCCCTACTAAACGTTTACGTAGTAGTGGTCCTCACTACCACCAACCCACTCACAAGCGCCCACCGAGATCGCTAAGTAGGTCACCGAAGTGCACTCTGTCGTCAGACTCGGCATCATGCTTCTCGAGCAGGATCGCGTCCTCTCTTACCCTAGCAAGGAGATCTCTACTACGCCGCTTGAAGAGAGGTAATCATGAGAACAGTGACCCTATCAGTGGGCGCTACATTGGGGGTGAGGGCTATTACATTGCAGTTGTAAGTTGAGGGCCCAATGTATGTTGCATTCATGGATACAACCGATTTGGTTACATTGGTTGATGCATGCTTTGAGAGGAGTGCTAGCATGTATAAGGAGAGATATGCAGGAACCAAACAACTGGGCTTTTGCTCTTCGTTGTCATGGATATATACATGCATCCAACTGGACCCTATAAGTTTGTTAAGCTACTTGTGAAGAATGGACGAATAACGCATTTAATGGGTAGCTCTAAAGTTTACATGTTAGTAAGAATTAGGGTTCCCCCTATAACTTTTTAGTAGGGCCTACCTTTACGCTATTACCAAGTGTTCCGCTAATAACATTGTAGCTCTGCTGAATACCAATATTTGGCTTAGCCACAAAATATTTAGCACTACTAGTATTTACTGAGGCATGTATTCATTTCTTACTCTAGATAACTATAATCCATGGCTCTTCATTGTGTTCATTAATTGATAAATAATGATGTAATGAACTATTGAATAATTTTTGAATGTTGAATGAATATAAATGTTGATTATAGCCAGGGGTATGTTGATTGTTTAAATGAAGGTTAAGTAATGGACCTAAAAACACGTTCTATGGAGTCTTGTACTTGTATTTCAGTTTTTGTGTTCATAAAATTTTCTTTATAACATGTTTTTGTACATAACTAAGATTTTTTTATATTTTCTATAAACAGCTAAATGAAATAACTTCTGTTACATGCTGTTATAGTTTGTTGTCATAACCCATGTTTTAAAAACATGATGAGAATATTGTTTTTTTTAAAAACCACACGTTATTTCAGTCAGCTAAATAGACAACCCACGTCGGGAGCTCTACTTTTGGGAGTATCAAAACCCGAAGTTCCCGGAGCTGGGCACCATCCACCGCTGCACCGGCGGCCGGGCGGACAAGCCTAGTCTCAGGCGCGCCATCCGCCTCGCTGCCGTGGTTCTAACTTCTACGGTGCTAACCCTGCAACTGCAGGATAGGGCGACGCCGTGGTTCGTCGAGGGCGACCATGCGCCACGCGGTGCATGAGTCCCGTCCCGTGTGCTTCGTTTTGTGTGTAGTCCCAAGCTCGAATAAGGCCCTGTTTACATCCCACACAAAATTCAAAATTTTTCAAGATTCTCCGTCACATCAAATCTTACGGCACATGCATGGAGCATTAAATGTAGGTAAAAAGAATAACTAATTGCACAGTTTATCTGTAATTGGCGAGACGAATCTTTTAAGTCCAAATAATCCATAATTAGACAATTTTTATCAAATACAAACAAAAATACTACAATAGCCAAAAGCTAAAAATTTTCGCATCTAAACGGGGCCTAACTCGTAGCTGAGCCAGAACGTGCACGCGCGCGTCGGCAGGAATTAGGATAGACGACCGACCCGTATTGACTGCCGGCGTCCAGGGCGAGGGTGGTGGTGCTCCACCACCACCACCGGAGGACGGAGGTCGTCAAGGGCGGCCGCAGCCTTGCTGCGCCCTTGTCGCTGCCGCTGCCGCCCGCCAGCAGTCAAGCTGCTCCGTGGGCCTGTGCCCCTGTCCCTGGCGCGCGTGCCGTGGCAGGCTGTGGAGGCGAAGTCACCGTCAGATGACTCAGATCGGGCGATGCCCGCCGGCTGACGCGACAAGGCTGACCTCAGGTGCCGCGCGTGCCTGCCGCCAACTGAATTGCCTGGCGTTTTCCCGGCGAGTATCTACCGCGATCGAATCAAAAGTATTCTCCGGGACTGTGCGCATCGATCAGGAGAACCGGACTGGATCGCGATGACGTGACCTTACGCCGCGTTTAGTTCACGAAATGAAAATTTTTTATGTTATATCGGATGTTTCGAGAATGTTGGAAGATGTTTTTGGATACTAATAAAAAAAACTAATTACATAGCTCGCATGGAAACTGCGAGACGAATTTATTAAGCCTAATTAAACCATCATTAGCGCATGTTAAGCACTTATGACTAATCATAGACTAATTAGTCTTAAAACATTCGTCTTGCGATTTTCAATTAAACTGTGTAATTAGTTTTTTTTTCTATATTTAATACTTCATGCATGTGCCATAAGATTCGATGTGATAATTTAGGGTGAAAATTTGTAGGAACTAAACCATGCCATAAGGATGGATCAGAGCCTCAGAGGGACTGAGGGAGCTCGCGAACGTGAAGGATCTCATTTTCGCTTCTCTCCGTTTTGTGTTTTCGTCAGGAGAGTGAGAGAGAGCCGGACGCGGCGGCCATTCCATTTGTTTAGGGATCAGTGCCGGTGGGGCGGCGTAGGCGACCGGAACCTCGCATCGCATCGGTGGAATCCACGAGTCAATGCTGCACCTGCACGTAGGGATGGTTCACGGCTCACGATGCGGCCGCACGCATGCGGTCTGCCCTGCTCCACGGTTGGTGCGGAACAGTCGCCGCGGCGTTGCGGCAGAAATCCGTACGGGTCGGGTCGGGTCGGAGCGAGAGCCCTGAAAGTGCAAGAGGAGGAGCAGGTGCAAGTGCAACGGGACAAAAAAGTGAAGAGTCTTAAGGAGGGGAGCGCAAATCGGCCGGATCAGATAGGACCGAACCCCAACCGATGTGCACTGGACGGACGGGTTGATTTGAAATACTCCAATCCGAGTTCCGGGGGACGTTTCCTAATCAGCCAGCTAATACCTGGGCTGTAAACAAACAATTCCTGTAGCAGCCCAGCATGCAAGTAACCTTCACATGGGCGAGCGGGCGTTGCGTTCTCCTGTCACAAAGCGCAAAGCGGCAACGCCGCCATCTCGATGCTGCTCTGTTCAGACCGTAGAAACTCGGCAACGGAAGCTGTTAGGTGCCGGGTTGTCAGTCATCCTGTGCTGCACGTCTCCACGAGCATCCTCCTCCGACACATGGTTTGCCTTGCCCACCCGGCCCGGCAGCCCGGGAGAGCACAGGTTCACCGACCCCGGAAACGCAGGCCGCCCGCTGCGGTGAGTGAGTCGCGGAGTGGTGGGCGCGCACCACTCCTGGTCTACTTCTACCGCCCGCTGACCTGACCGAGGGGCACGGCACCTCCAGCTTTCTGTTCTACTACCTGCAGTGCACACGCAGGTCGCGACCGACCACGCCCCCGCACCCGCAGGCAGCCGCGATGCAGCAGCAGCAGCAGCCCCCGCACCGGCACGCCAAGACGGACTCGGAGGTGACGTCGAGCATGGCGGCGTCGTCGCCGCCGCGGGCGGCCTACTACGTGCAGTCGCCGAGCCACGACGACGGCGACAACAAGACGGCCGCCTCCTCCTTCCACTCCTCCCCGGCCGCGTCCCCGCCGCGGTCGCTGGGCCGGGCCTCCAGGGACTCCTCCCGCTTCTCCGCAAGCGCCAAGAGCGCCGGCGCCGGTGCCAGCCCGGGGGGCGTCGCCGCCGTCCCCGGCGCCGGCGGCCGGCGGCGCAGCAGCCCGTGGATGAAGGAGGCGGCCATCGAGGAGGAGGGTCTGATCGGCATGGACGACGACGACGACGACCCGGGCGCCCACGGCGGCGGGCTCAGCGGGATCCCCAAGCGGGTGCGCTACGCGCTCGGCTTCGTGGGGGCCTTCTTCGGGCTCTTCTTCTTCTTCGCGCTCATCCTGTGGGGCGCCTCCCGCAACCAGCGGCCCGTCGTCACCCTGCGCGCCGTCACGTTCCACCGCTTCGTCGTGCAGGCCGGCACCGACGCGTCGCTCGTGCCCACCGAGATGGCCTCGCTCAACGCCACCGTCCGCCTCGTCTTTCGCAACACCGGCACCTTCTTCGGCGTCCACGTCTCCGCCGACCCCGTCACGCTCTACTACACACAGCTCCAGCTCGCTTCCGGCAATGTAAGCAAGCGCCTTTAATACATACTACTACTCTTCTTTCGACCTTCTTCGGATTTTTACTTTACTGATTTACAGTACAACAGCAATCTGTTTGTTTATTAGTACGAGTTCGTTCATGGATCATGATCACTCCACTCGGTGTGCGCCGTTTAGGTCAAGCAGGCAGGCGGCCTCGATCGATCGAGCCTAGTAGTTAAATCGCTCAAGTTTCCAATGATTTGAGGAAGGATATATACTGGAATAGAATTTGCCATTTTAAGGTTGCTAATCCAAGCGCCTAGACTAAGCAGAGTCGCTACGGAAGCCATTTTAAGGTTGCGAAACGTGTGCCTTGATAACACTGGGGATTGTTTGCAAGGTTTCTCTGTTAGGAGCAGTGAAAATTCAGATTTTGCCAATAAATCTCCCAAACCAGTAGCAGCCTAAAAATGCATATTGTAACTTGTAAGAACAGGAGTAGAACAGGGCACCGATTTTTCAGTCTTTATCTTTGCTTGTGGCAGTAGATAGCGTACTACTACTAAATGAACAGTGGACTACAGCTGCACAGCGACATTGACCCGAGCCACACGCGGTAGCAGTAGCCGTCGATAGCGACTTGTTGCGACGGGAACACGAGCGCAGAGTCACCGGGTCCGTGCCGGGAAACGCGAGCAGACACAGCTCATGCCTTGCAGTTTCCCGCATCATAGCTGTCAGCCTGTCACCCAGTTCACTCGCGTCGCGTTCCTGCAACCCTGCATGGCTGCTGCCTGCTGGCTGCGTTGCATTCGCATTTCCAGGGCAATTTCTTCTCTTTTTCTTTCCTGCAAAGAAAGATCCTACTGTAGTAGCTTGGCAAATTTGACCGTGTTGTGTTGCGTGCAGATAAAGTACTTCTACCAGTCTCGGAAGAGCCAGCGGAGCCTG